GTTCACTGCAGGAGAATCCAGAAATTACTCTTTAAACTATTTGGTTCATAGCCTGACTGACGGAGTCGTTTGAAGCTGAACAAATCGGGGGAAAAATGATTATTTTGACCGATATTGCATTTTAGAGGAACTGATCATTTTCGAAAATTCAATTCAATGGAAAAATATATTTAAAATCATCATGGTGTGATTTTTTAGGAGGACGTTAACCAAACAAGGTTTTCCAATAAAGAGGCTCTTTTATGCTTTTCTGTTGCCTGAAACGTCTCCATTGGACTACATTGTTTATATATGGAGAGCGACATCACTATGTAACTATCCATATATAATACTACAATACAAACAGACCAAGTGACCACAATTTACAGGAATTTAGTTGTATTCAAAGCATTAACAGGCAACAATGCTCTTCAAACATTTTAGTGGAAAGTATTTTCTCAAACCCTTTAAAGTTGACTTGAAGTAACAAATCATTTTCTTCCTCTCCAGGGAACATCGACAACATCTTCTCCATTGATCCAGAGCTGGGCTCCATCAGTGTTTCCAAACCTCTGGACCTCCAGCCGCAGGACCAGTTCCACCTGACGGTAAAAGCCACGGATCAGGGCTTCCCTCAGCGCACCGACCTCTGCTCCGTCCACGTTCACATCCGCATCTCCGACCAAACCCCACCCTCCTTCCCCTCGGAAGAATACCTCACAGAGATCAGTGAATTGAGCACTATTGGAGCACCAGTCCTCACCGTCTCGGCCTCCAGTCCTGCTGCAGTGCACTATGGGATAGAAAATGGCAACCCAAACGGGACCTTTCACATCAACCCCTCCACCGGGTTGATTTCAATCCAAAAGCACCTTGATTTTGAGATTGCTGTCTCCTACAAGCTCAAAGTAACAGCTTCCACAACAGCTGGAGCCTCCTCCAATACGGTCGTGTTCATCTACGTGATCGACGAGAACGACAACGCTCCGGTTTTTCAGCAACCGGAATATCTGGGGCAAATAAGTGAGTCGGCTCACATCAACAGCATGGTGATGCGAGAAAGGAACACTCCTCTGGTCGTCCAGGCTTCAGATGCCGACAAAGATTCAAATTCTCTGCTGGTGTATCAGATTCTCGAGCAGGAGGCCTTGAACGTATTCGCGATAGACTCGAGTATGGGCACCATTTCTTTAATATCACCGGTTGACTTTGAAGCCAAGGCTGAGTATCACTTCACAGTGCAGGTAAAGGACTCGGGGGAGCCATCACTGTTTGCATCGGAGCCTGCCAAGGTCACTGTGAGAGTCCTGGACCTCAATGACTGCCCGCCACAGTTCATAAAGCCAATCTACGAGCCATCCATCATCTTCCCAGCTGTCAGAGATACAGAGGTTGTGCAAGTCATGGCCAATGATCTGGATTCAGCTGTTTCATACAGCATCAGCGAGGGAAATCTCCACAATGCCTTTTCAATTCACCCCAATACTGGAGTCATCACCGTGAGCAATGTGTCTGAATTCAGACCGTCTTACCAACTGGTTGTCAAAGCGTCTGACGGCCTCTACAAAGACTTAGCCACCGTCAACGTCAACGTAACAAACCTAACAGCCAGCGATCTTGGATTTCAACACAAAGTGTATTCAGCAAGCGTTAGAGAAAACCTAAAGACAGTTAAAACGTTGCTAGCCCTCAAAGCCACAGGTTGTTTTTTAAACGAGCCTGTTTTTTACTCTGTGGTGAACCCAGTGGGAAAGTTTGTCATTTCCCAAACATCAGGCATTCTGGAAACAACCGGTATGTCTTTTGACCGAGAGGAGCAAGATGCGTATGACGTTGTTGTGAAGGTTGAAGACATGAGAACGCCAGCAAGGACTGTTACCACCCAGGTCAAGGTTTTTATAGATGATGTCAACGACAACGCTCCGCAGTTTCTAAACTTGCCTTTTTCAATGATGATTTCTGAGAACTCTGATCCAGGGGATGTGTTATATCAAGCAATGGCTATCGACAAAGATCTGGGAGAGAATGGGGCTATCGTGTACTCACTGGAGGAGGATTATGATCTCTTTAGGATAGATCCGGATCTAGGCGATGTGTCCCTCCAGAGGCCTCTTGACTTTGAAGCTCTGAATAAGTATGTGTTGACGGTCTTTGCTATAGACGAAGGTGAGCCAAGTCACACCACAATGGCCCAGCTTAGCATTCAAGTGAGGAATCAAACCAACCCAGTTTTCCAGACCCTTCTTTATCCCCTAAAAGTGCCAGAAAATGTCCCACAATTCACCACCATCTTACACGTCCAGGCCAGAAATCCAGAGGGCTATCGACTCATCTACAACCTGGAAGAGGAAAACGCCACACGACATTTTCATATTGATTTCAAAACGGGCGTGTTGACCGTCTCCAACCCCCTCGACTATGAGAGCCAAACCATGCATTTGTTGACAGTTCGTGCTTCTGACTCTGTGACCGGAGCTTTCTCTGAGGCCTCTATTGAAATAGAAGTGGAGGATGTGAACGATAACGCGCCCGTTTTCCCGAAGGTAGCTTACATGGTGAGCATTGATGAGGGGCTCCCGATCGACACCCCTGTGATACAACTCTCTGCCATTGATAGGGACTCTGGCAGAAATAAAGATCTCACCTTTCATATGGTGAAAACAGAGAATAACGAGACTGATTTCTTTGACATAGACTCCCGTAGCGGGTTGATCGTCACAAAACAGGTGCTGGACTATGAAAACACAAAGCACTTTCATTTTAAAGTAAAAGCTACTGACAATGGCACTCTGCCTCTTAGCAGTGAAGCCCATGTTTTCATTAATGTCACCGATGTAAACGACAACCCACCGGACTTCATTAGCTCCCAGTATGATGCCACACTGGATGAAATGGCAAAGTGTGGTCACATAGTCGTCAAAATCCAAGCTTCAGATCCGGACACTGCGGAGCTGAATAACCTCAAGTACAAAATCCTTTCAGGGAACGGAGGGCGCTACTTCAACATCAACGAATCCTCTGGACTTATATCGTTTTCCAATGTCTGTAAGAGGAACCTGGACCCTTACTATAATTTGACGGTGGCGGTGTCTGACGGAGTGTTTCAGAAAACAGCACCAGTCAATATCGACATGATAAACAGCAACAGGCATAGTCCGCACTTCAAGCAGAGCCTCTACGAAGCAGAGCTGGCGGAAAACGCAGAGGCGGGAACTCGGGTGATCCGATTGGCCGCCATTGACCCTGACGACGGGCCATTTGGCAGCGTTGACTACACCATTATTAACAAACTTGCCGATGAGAAGTTCTCCATTGACGCTGATGGGCAGATAGTTACGACACAACCATTGGACCGAGAGAACCCCGCACAGAGAGTCATCGCGATCAAAGTGATGGCTAAAGATGGCGGCGGAAAAGTGGCCTTTTGCACGGTCAAGATAATTCTGATAGATGAGAATGACAACGTTCCTCAGTTCAAAGCGTCAGAGTACCAGGTTTCAATTCAGTCCACTGTTAATAAAGGCTCCCCTGTCATTCAAATCATGGCTTATGACGCAGATGATGGCAAAAATGCAGATGTCACCTACACGGTAGATGAAGGCGAAGAAGTGACAGAAGACATTATCGAGATCAACCCTTTCACTGGAGTCGTTAGCGTCAAAGAGAGTCTTGTTGGCATGGAGAATAAGATCTTCAACTTCAAAGTAAAAGCCCGTGACGGCAGCCTTCCTTTCTTTAACTCCACAGTCCCTGTTCAGCTCAAAGTGGTTCCTCCCGAGGTTCCTCTACCAAAGTTCTCAGAGCCTCTTTACTCCTTCTCGGCTGCAGAGGACATCCCCGTAGGGACGGAGGTCGGCTCAGTGAAGGCGGACTCAGACATGCCTCTTATCTACAGCCTGGTGAACGGGAACACTGTGGAAAGCAACAAGGACAAAGTGTTCAGTTTGGACAAAGAGAGCGGAACGTTGCTGTTGCAGAAGACCATCGATCACGAGAGGACGAAATGGTATCAGATAGATGTGATCGCTCAGGGGAACCACAACGGGACTGACGTCGCGTCACTGGTGTCGGTCAGCATCCAGGTCCAAGATGTGAATGATAACCAGCCGGTGTTTGATGCTAACCCATATCGAGCCTTCCTGGCTGAGAACATGCCAGCTGGAACGACTGTCATTCAGGTAACTTCAGAAAGCTTAGATCGTTCTATCTTTGGAAAAAGCCGATAATCACTATTGACTAAATGAGTGCAAAATATGACGTATAACAGTGTATTTCAAATGTATTTGAATATTGATTGACAACTTTGTTAGTTAACCTATAGATGGAAACACAAAGATTACATTAGCGTGAATAAACTGGTAGCAATTTAGCTGCAAAGCAACCTTTACCGAAAGAAACATTCAAATAAAAAAGTGTGTGTAATTTAGAAAGAGCAAGATATTATTTGTATCTGGTTTCAATTATTAACAATACCTGAAGATATGAACTGAAGTTATTTATCTGGTTTGACAATAAAGTGAGTGCATTTTTTGAAAATTACTTAATCGAGAATGTTCTGTCGATATTGCGTTATTGAGCGTTTGCTTATTTTTAGCTTGATAAGGGTGCTAAGCCAGGATTAAAACAACCTTGAACAACGTATCTTCTGAAAGCACAGTTAAGAAAGTAATTTGAATGTTCTCCTTGCACTCACAGTACAACATCTTATATCCTAAAATATACAAACACACTTGAGACCGAATGCTTATTCTGACCCGCAGGTGACCGCCAACGACCCGGACACCGACACCAACGGTCTCGTGACGTACAGCTTGGATTCTATACCTGACGACACCACCACCATGGCAGATATCAGCGGGGTTTTCACCATCGACGGAGAGAGCGGCTGGATCACCACGGTTCGGGAAACGGACTGCGAGGAGACCAGGGTTTACCGGTTCTACGTCTTCGCCACGGACCACGGCGGCGACACCAAGCTGTCCTCCAGCGTCCTGGTGGAGGTCATGGTGACGGACGAGAACGACAACCCGCCAAAGTTCTCCGATGACTTGTACCACGCCTCAGTGATGGAGAACAGCAGCCCCGGGGAGGTCATCGTCTCCATGACCACCACGGATGCTGACGTGTCTCTGGAGAACCGCCTCGTGACGTGTTACATCACAGGTGAGAACGTTCAAAAGGGTGTTGTAGTTCAGTCTAATCCAAAAATGAATATATCCACAAGTAGCAACAAGCTTGACTCCAACTAAAATACGTCTCAGGTAAGTTTGGTTGACTCTTTACTTAAACAAAAGGTATCAGGAAAAACACATTATTTTCAAAGGTCAAAAAACGATATTGCTCCGTGATTCTTTTCTCCTTCTAACTTCTCATTGCCAGCAGCTGCGGTCGGTTATGACGTCAATTTCACAACGGCTGGTTTAAATACATGATATAAGAATACTAATAACAAATAATTACAATGTTCAAATATATCTATATATACACATATTATACATTTTAACATATGGCTCCTACAGGTGTGTTCCAGGTACTTTCTCTGAACATGTAAATGTCACAAACACATCACAGATCCAGTCAAATGTTATTCAACCAGCATGGTTAAAGTTATGATTTTACTCATTCTGTATCTGCACGTCTTCAGAAAAGATTACCTGTAGGGACGACAGAAACTGCATACAGTAGTAGTAGACAACTAGTTAGATTCAAAGATTCAAGATTCAAAGGTTTTAATGTCATATGCACAAAGCTAAAGTGTAGAAATGGCAATGAAAATCTTATGACCTGATCTCTTCCAACGATGCAACATATATAATAAAATACAACATAGGTGAGAATGTTCAAGAGTGTGTTTGTGAGTGTGTGTTCCAGGTACTTTCTTGGAAAATGTAAATGTCAAAAACACATTGGAAAATCCAGACGAATGTTATTCAACCAGTATGATTGAAGTAATGATATAGAGGCCACAATCCTAGAAAGGTAAAACAGATAATGAACTTAAAACCAAACTGGCGCCAGTTAGCGAATCTTACGCAAGGCAATGATTCAAGTTCAGACAAGAGTCTCCATTTGTGCATTTCATTTCTATAACAACAATTCTACGAACAGGTTTATATCTCTTCCCTTTAGCCTTTCCTGTGGCTTTCCTTCTTGTGGCTTTAAACACCCTGGTAAAAAACCATGTGCCTTCTAGTGCTCTATAGTCTCCAATACATACAATTACACCAGGTGCCCAAACATGCCTTCTAAATAAAAGCATAAAAACGACTTTAACTCACTTCAATAACAATACTAACTAAGAATACATTTAGTATAAACAAAAACAGCAAGAAGATACATCTTTAACTATTAAATAATATAAAGCAATATATAGCTCCAACAAATGATTTTAATTATTCTCTATCTGCTCCTCTTCAGAAAAGCGTATCTGTAGGGGCCGACGATGCAGAGTAGCACCCAATTAGTAGTAGTTAGTAGTAATCTGTCTCTGCTAAACACAACTCTGTTCAGCACTTAAAGGGGACCTATTATGCAAAATGCACTTTGTGATGTATTTATACATAAAGATGTGTCCCCGGTGCGTTGGGGAACTCACGCAGCGTCAGAAAATAAAACCCTCTCTCTTTTCCTCCGTACCCAAATCTTTTAAAAACGGGTGTACAACGAGCGGATACAGATTTGCTGCCGATCTGACGTCAAGCTGACATCGGCAGCGGACCCACAGAAAGTTGCTATCAGAAACAATGCCTGACGTGTTTTGGACGTCTTTGTTTACATTAGCAAGCCTCGCTAACACTCAGAGCTAACCTGTACTGGAGAGCACATGTGTTTAAAAAGCAGGAAATAAAAAAAGGAACTCACCTTGTGATAAACTCGCAAGAGAAAAAGCATTTGAGCTCCATACTGTTTCAGAAATAATCTTTGATGTGGTTTAGAACAGGATGGCGTTTTATCACAGCAGAATTTAACTTTATCTCCGGTAGAATTCTGATCAGGCATTAGCTCCGCCTCCTTTTTTCAAGCTAAGGACCCAAAATCCGCGTTTCTCTAACAGGGCTGCAAAAGAGGGGTTTGAGCAGTATGAGGCATGGCTACAATGGGTGAACTGTTTGGTATTTTAAGCAAACAA